AAATTTTCCAACTTCTCTTTCAGATGATGCATCAAATTAATCTTCTCCAATATTGGCACTGCAATGCTTGAGGTGGTGGATACTCAGCTTCCTTCTTCATGCTCGAAAAAATTTTGGCTGCTCCCATCCTAGTCAAGATTAATTTGACTTCCTTCTCTTTGGATTGTTTTCTATGTTTCTCGAGAGGTGTCTTTGAGGCTTTTGAGGTTGGACATAGATTAGTAGTGCAAGTAGTCTTTCGATATTATTGTAACTCGTTCATAGTCCTTTCAATGTTGCCTCTAGCTTCTTGAATCTAGTGGGTTACGGATTGGAGACACCTTCTCCTTGTCCCTTGTATGAATGTAGATTAACAAATCCACATGGACTTGGCTTCTTTTGCCATTGTGCTTCAAGAACATAGGGTGCATTGCTAGAGGTAATTTTGGGGTAATACTCAAGCTTTTTCCCTCCTGGATTAAGTCATTGACCATAGGGTATGCGAGGTTGAATGAATCTTTGATGAGGGGGATAGCTCCCTTGTTGAGGTCTCGAGTGATAGCCTTGATTTATTGATTGACATCAGCATGTTCTTGCCCTTATTGGCTATAGCAGTCGAATCCTTCATGACCTTATTCTCCACATGCTTCCAAAATGAACAAGGATGAAATCGGTCCATTATGTAGCTCCATTGAAGTCCTTCTTAGTTGCAGTTCAGCTCTTTTATATGCACATAGGGTGGCGACATTATCCTTCCTTCCTTAGGAAATTTCAACGGTTTAATCGATGATGGATGCTTGGACTAATTTTTCGAATTCTTTTTCAGTGTAGAGAAATGCTCCTATCATTGTACTCCCGTCATTATTGTGAAATCTCCATCAGCCGACTGGTTTACATCTTCTTTGTGTCTTCATCAAGACCTTTGGCAAATATACTTTGGAATATGATCTAGTGTGAATCCATGATGGGGGCATGTCTTGATATATTCATAGCATCTCCTCCAATCATCATAGAAAGTCTCTCCTTCCTTCTGTTGAAATCGAGTAATCTCCTCTTTAAACTCTTATGTCTTCCAGGGTAGGAAATTACTCCTCGATGAATGCTTGAGCTAAGGTCTCCCATGTGATGAAGGTTCTTGGTGAATGGTTGTCCAGCCACTGCTTTGCTCATCCTCCAAGTAAGAATGGGAAAATTCGTAGTAGAAATTTTTCTTTGGTAGCATCATCTTATTTCATGGAATTGATGATCTCTAAGAATGTCCTCAAGTGTTGCATCGGATCATCATCATTCCTTCCTCCAAATTTCCCTGCTTTTTTCAGCATATGGATGATTTGAGTTCTGATTTCCATGGTCGTTGATGGCGCAACAATGCTTGAGGTGATGTTGAATGCTCTTGTCTCTAAATACTCATAAAAAGTTGGTGGAACGACCACTTGTATTTTTTCTTCTTCTCCAGCCATTGTTGGTGTTGAAGAATTTGAGGATGCTCCTTCTTCCTCCGAATCGAAGTTGTCTTCATCTATCTTGTCCTCCTCTTCCAAGTGTTGCTTGAAATTGGTGGGGCTTGAGGGATCTTCTTCTCATGAGCCGGAGGCTCCTTCCTTCATCTTTAAGATGGGTGAACTCGATGCTCCTCCTTGTTGAACTATCTCTTCCATTATCTTTAGGTTATTTTTGTCTTCTAGCACTCACTAGACTCATATGAAAATACAAAGACTACTCAATACTAAACATAAGATGGTTATATACTTTTAATAGATTATTAGAAATTCCTGGCAAAGACGCCAAAAATTTGATTGTGGAATCAGGTGATAAAATCCTAGGAGGCCCTAGGGTCTTATTCCTCGAGGTCTTCTAATGTATAACTACTCACACTAACCATCCATGCTATACACTAAAATCATAAAGACATTTAAGTATTTTCATTTAACAAACAAGCAAAGCAAGAAGCATATAGTTGCTTTTGGAGTTTTCAATTTATAAGTTCATAAAAGTAGAGATACGTTATTGTAGAAGGTAGTCAACTAAAAAACTATCATGTATACTACTGCTCATTCATATCATGAATCGATGATTCATCTATTGTAACACCATATACCTTCCTCTAAGGCCACTCTCTACCCTTGCATGCGCTTCATGCAATAGAGATTTAACTGGCTAATGTGTGCTTTCGATTCATGCAATTACCTAATCAATGAAGAACAAGGAAGTTAGGATACCAAATAGTTAATTCGGGCTTCTACGAACCATAACCATAGTCTATAGCATTAATGATCTGACAATCAAGCATTGATACTACTCAAAGCATAAATGGTTTGTTATTCCCTCTATACAATGGGGTATCCCTAGATGATAATTTCTTGACAACCTAGATAATACTAAGCACAATGCATATAGTAGCATACAAGAAAATAATAAGCATCTATGATACATAAGCATTTATACTATAGAAACATTATTGACCTACACATAAGCACCGAAACTAAAAACATCCATACATAGGCAATAAGCATAAAAAATCTCATAGACAAACAGATGCATGAGATGAAATCATAACATTAATCCAAAAAAAAAAAAAATTAATATCACATCCTTATACAATCAATTTTGACTAGCTACATAGTGGAGAAGGAAGGTACCATCATTGATGATGACAACATCTCCCTAGTTGCAGACTCTCTACTTTGACTAGACTAACCACTCGTGTAGAGTGTTACAAAGAATGTGTATTTGTGCAACCTTAAAAAACTAATAGGTCATGCCCTCTATTTATAGGGAAAATCCCAACCTTTAACATCCTAAACCAACTAGGAAAGAGTCTCTTAAACCTTGTAGGTAAGTAAAATTCCTCGATAAGATCTAGGGTTGACAGCGGTAGGGCAGTGGTTGGACCAACCGCTCTTTTTCTTTGTGGGTTGGGTCTCCTGGTCCATCGAATTATCTTCTTGGCAATTTGGATGTAGCTTGAGATTTCTCCTGCAGTAGCAGGGGCCTTCGCTTGTTCCTTCGTCCAAATGGGTCGAGTCTTCTTTCTATGGGGTTGTCTTGAGATAATGTAGTAACTTGTAATTGACTTCTCGTCATTGGACCTCTTTTTTCTCACGAAAGTTCCTTAATCTTATCTTTATAGCTTATTTGATCCTCCAGAGTTCTCCAATGCTTGATTCAATCATCCTTGGGTTACTCTGTACCTTCAAACCATAAAAAATACCAAGAATGCATGAGAGAGTACATGAACATTGCCAAGGTTTATTAAAAGATCAATGATCGTATATTTGAGATTTAGACAAGAAGTACCATTGCAATTACTAAGATGCATTGATAGAAGGTGGAAAATGTATAAAGAATAGGAGTAAGAAACACTATACATAAAGTGTCATCAGTAGTAACCACCATGACTACTAAGGGCAAATTGAATATGGAAAATATTTATTAATTATCTTTTTTAATACATTATATTTTAGGAAGTTACACAAACATATTAACTAATTTTTCTTCTCTTTCTCGCTTCCATAATATCCAGCCATATTTCTCTTCCTTTTTTTTCTCAAAGTTTTCCTTGTCTCTATTCAAGCAAACTAATACCACTGCAAAAATAAAACACGAAATCAACACCAATCAACTAAACATACACTACCACTTCAAAAAATTCCGATCCCATAGTATAAATAAAACAAGAAATAGATAGAAAAACATAAAAAAGCTGCCACTACAACCTAGACAAAACAGTACCACTGTCACTATTACAACATATATAACTTATTAACCAATACCATTGCAGATTTAAGCAATACCAACAGAGAAATGACTTTATGCACGAATATTAAAGAACCCTAAATTGTGCTTACCAGCTCGCCAGGCCCCACGTTGGCCCAATGTCCGGCCAAAATTATGATCATAATTTCTTTTAAAATGGCGCATGCACCATCGCCACTTCCATCCAACCTCCTCAGGAAAGTTGTACATTACATGCACAATGCCATGGTAGCAATCAGAAAGGAATGCAATGTCCTTCCCTCGAGTGACACGAGTGAACAGTTGGAGGAAAAACCATGACCAATTGGCGTTGTTCTCTGATTCAACTACAGAAAATGAATAAGGAAGACATGTTTATTGTCGTCAACACTCGTGGTGATGAGTAGAGTGCCCTTGTATTTGCCCCTCAAAAAGGTCCCATCCACTTGTATTATCAGTAGAGAGTGGTCGAAACCATCAATGCATGGTTTGAATTCCCAAAACAGTCGATCAAACACTCGTTCGCTCCCTACTGCATAACCATAGTATTGGACCACGAAAACTAAACCAAGATTTTTGTCAAGAAATGCTAGAATCAGGTTAGGTAAGAATATAACCCCACCCAATCACCGTATACCTCTGCTGTTACTTTTTGCTTTACATGTTATGTTTTCTTGTACCTAATGGTGTAGCCATGACGGTTATTAACTTTTATAGTAACAACCTTTATAGTGATCCAGGTTGTGCCTCAACCAGATGCTTGATCATTTGTGAAAATTTTCTTGCATTCAATTGCCTATGATCAAGAGAAAGAATTGATAAAATGCATGCATGTTTTCTTCCTTGCAATAAGCCAAACCATATGCCCGACCACATATGCAGCCCGGACTTGCCACATGAAGTCATCTCCATTAGGGGTAGTATTCGGTCGGTATCGGTATAACCGGTTACCGAATACCCGGTTAACGGTATACCGAAATTGTCAAAGTGGCAGCCGTTTACCGATACTGGTTGCTATCCGGTTAATCGGTTACCGACTAGCCGGACGGTTAGTAGCCGGTTACCCGTTAGCAACCAATAAGGCAAAGTCTTTCTGCGCTCAAGTAGCAGCATCGACGAATTGCCGGAGCGTCTCCCTATTGCGGCTGCGGCGGACGGATTGAGGATGGAGAAGGCATCACTCACTACGCCTACGCTGTCGTCATCTTCGTCACACACGCAACATCTTTCCCGGCGACGTCCTTGGGTGGCTTCGGATCCAGAATCGAGATGGAGATTGCAGGGCGCTAGCCGCCGGATCTGGAATTGAGATGGAGAGCGAGCGTCGGATTTGGAATGGAGAGGGAGATTGCATACGTCGGATCTGCAATGGAGATGGAGGAGAGCCGCGACGAGGGAGACTGTATGTCGCCAGATCTGGAATCGAGGGGGAGGTAGAGCAGCCTAGTGATGCAGATTGGATGGCACCGGCTCTTATCGAAAATCGCTTTTGGGTTCTCCATAACATCGACGACGACTGAGCAGTGGAGAACGACTATGGTTGGGCGACGCAGATGGAATTGGGAGAGATGGAAGAATTTTGTTTCTGGAATTCAGAGGGAATCGGGAGAGATGGACAGAGATAGAGGGGTTTTGTTTATGAAATTTGAGGGAATCGGCTAATTCGGAGAGATGGAATTGGGTGTTTGTTTTTGGAATTGAGAGGAAATCGGGAGATGGAGAGAATTGGGGTTTTTGGGGTTAGTAACAGGGTGAGAGAAAGAGAGGGTTGGGCAAAGCGGGGAGGGTAATCGGTATACTCGGTATTATCGAATACTGTCGGGTTTTAACCGGGTATGGGTCGGTATACCGACAGCTGGATTTTGTACACCGTATACTGATACCACCAGTTAACGGTTAACCAGTAACCGCCGGTTATCGGTTCAGTAACCGGTTAAACCGTTAACCGGATACCCGATAACCAACCCGAATCTACATAGTTCTCGCAGCGAACATGAATTTATTTAGCATCTGCTATGTGAACACGATATTGGAAGCTCTTCTTCATTGCATATTCTTTCAACGCATCCATAACATTTGGCTTTCTTCCAAATGTTTGCCCGACCATGAACCATACATTAGGATTCCAAATGCGTACATGAGAGCAGTTCGGATCTTCGTTGTCAGCATAGAGTGGATGTTGTCGCACCATCTTGTAGTGAGGTGTGGAAGGCTCAAATACCCCTGCATTGACATCATAATCGTTACCTTCATGATCTTCACTATGATTTTGATTCAAAATCTTCCATGTCAGTTTCCTCACTTGTGTAGAGAGGAGTTGGCTAATCTCAACAGAGATCATCATTCCTAACCAATTCTTGTGTGGATGGTCCTATGTTGGCCCATTCCTCATCCCATACTGGCCATTTTTGTCCATCACATTCAACCGTTGCACCAGGTGTAACACCAGCCTCATATCTTGGCCATGGTACGCCATCTGCTACTCCATAGCCACCCGAACCATAAACTCCACACATAACTTTGCTGTGTTCGGCATTACGACCAAAACCATACTTGCCCACCTCTTCCGTCTTAATGTACATCTCAACAACCCATAATCTGTTCTCTGCTATGAACTCCAACATCATATTAATTTCATCATCATTAGACATGATTGATTCTTCGTACATCATTGCATATCCATGGTAAAGCGACATCCGATATGTCATCTTGCATACTCTTCGATGACCACCTGCGCAACACCGTTCCTCATAAATATGGAAGAGATTTTGCCAACCAAATTTTCTCTAAATCCTAACTGTGCTTACCTCACCACCTTCATAGTCAACACTATTATGAAATCTTGTCACTCGACCATTCCACCAAATCAATAGGTCGAGCTTTTTAAAATTCCTTCCCATTCCTACATTTTACAGTAGCAAAAATTAAATACAATTCAAAGGCTAAATATAAAAAAAACAACCAAATATTAATCAAGCCCTAATCCATATTTAACCTACTTTCAAAAGCTAATGTAGCCCATGTTACAACCAACAAAACAAAACATAAGTTAAAATTACAGAAGCTCAATTAACGAATAGAACATACCTAGAATATACAACCAGTACAACTAAACCTAAATATAACAACCAAGCATTAAACCAAATATCTAGTCTACTTTCAAAGGATAATGTAACACATGCTAAATCCAACAATAACAAAACATACCTATACGTGACAAAAGCTCAACAAACCTTCTTATTCTTTGTTGATAGTTTCGTGCTCTTTATGCTTCTTTTGTTGTTTGTTTTTGGCTTAATGAAGAGAGGAATGAACTAAAAGAGTGTTTGGTATTTATTTTCATTCACTGAGGAGTAGTTCGCTGCCCACCCCAGCGATCCACTCCAACTAGTAAAGCAAATCCACAAAATAATTGGAAGTGGTTCGTTACAATTGGCAGCGAACCACATTGTTCACTTATATTGGAAGCAAACTACAGAAATATGTCGGCAGAACTTACATAGGCAGCGAATAGGGATGGCAACAAAACCCGAACTCACGGGTACCCACCCGACCCAACCCGGTCAACGCGGGTAAAATCCGTGTTGACGGGTTTTGGGCCAGGTTTGGGTTTAAACCCGTTCACTATTCACCGGGTTGGGTTTGGGTTTAGGTAAACCCGATCCATGGGTACCCGCCCACACTCATATAATTATTTTATTGGCATATTTAATGTTCTAGACATCTAATCTTATTTATGTTTGTGAAGACATGTCTAATTTTTTCTTTTTAGTTATGTAGAATGAAATTGATGTTATCGAGTGGAGAGTGAAAAACTTAATTGAAAGGAAGAAGCTTTCAATTATCATGTTATTTATGGATAATTTGTGATTTGATTCAATTTTCTTGAGTTTTCTAGATTGGTGTTAAACAATTTGTATAGTTAATTTGTGATTTGCTTGAATTTTCTAGAATGGTATATATGGATAATTTGTATTGAGAGATTGATATTTGAGTAATTTGACTTGAATTTTGATAGGAATTTGTTATTGTGAATTTTTTACGACAAAAACACGTGGGTACCCATGAACCCGCGGATACCCAGCGGGTTGGGTTGGGTTTGAGTTTTTCAAACCCAGTGGGTTTTATCCCCGGTTTTTTTCAAGAATAAACCCATGAATTTGGGTTTGGGTTTGACAAAACCCAACCCAACCCGACCCATTGCAGCGAATCACTGTTGTTTACTTACTTGGTCAGCGAACCACAGTAGTTCGCTTACTTTGTCAGCGAACCACAGTAGTTCGGTTTTCTAACGCGTGAACAACTGGTTTTTATACGCTCCTCAATCTGTCGAACAACTTCGTAATCCGCTTTTTTCAGCGAATAACCTAGTTTGCTCCCTTAACATGTGAATTGTTTTGTGGTTCGCTTTATTTTGCAGCGAACTACACAAAATTTAGGTATTTTGAATTTTTTTTGGGTAAATACAATATTAGCCACAACTATAAGCAGCGGGGAATAATAGTAACAATTATGAAAATACTAATTATTAGCCATAACTACTGTTGTGCATAAACAGATGACTCACATTCTGTTACCGTAATTAACTTTGTAACGGAAAAGACCACGTCAGCAACCACTTCACCTTACACGTTAAATTATTTTTTATCTATAATTTGTAAACATTAAAAACCAAAAAATAAAATAAAAAATGAAGGGTTAAACCTTGCTTTCCCCTCATCCTCTTCTTTACCGGCCACGTCACCTTCCCGACCCATCGATGACATTGGCGATAGGGAAACGTAACATGAAGGGACGAGATGTCGGTGGCGGAAGGTGTGGTGCCGGTTTCTGAGCTCGTTAATTTCCTACGTCAACTTGATTCCCTGTCCCTCCCCGTCCATATCCACTCACAACTGTCCGACCAATCCATCTACAATCGCCTCATTTCCTTCGGCGTCACCGGGGCCGAATTCAATTCGCGGTGGCTCTAGCACCAGATCTCCTAAATTTTTTTATATCTCACTCGACCAACCAAACCCCAAGCTCTCTCTCTCTTTCTCTTTAACCTTCATCTTCGTCCTCAAATCGTAGAATTCTGAATCTGCTAATTCCAATATGAAGAGTTTTAGGGTTTTTTTCCTCCCTCTCATCCTCCTCGTCTCTCCCCTCCTCAAAGATTTGCGCCACTCCTCTCCTCAGCAACAGAGAAGAAATGAACCACGAGCTAATTCGTGCCTCTCCAACGGTCGACAACGACATTTCTTACTTTTCGATTTTCATTGTTCTGTTTTATTTACTGGCCTGAGCTGGCGTTGTCTTGTAATGGCACAATATGGATATATATGAATGGAAGAGGGCAGAAGGAAGACTAACTTTCCTTCTTGCAAAATTCTCTGGGAATTTCGTTGTGATACAGTTCTAAATAATATATTAATTATTTAATAATCTATTTTTTAAAATTAAAAATATTATATGGTAACTGCTACGTGGGAGCCAAGTCAGCATCGTAAAGTTTAGGCCAATGCAGTCAAAAGCGCGATTCTACATAGAAGTAGAAAAGGGGTAAAATCATAAAGCGTAGAATTAAAGTTTAAAAGCATAAGTTTTTTACGTATACTGTAAAATAGCCAAAAATGTGTTAAGTACGATATATACTGTTTAAAATATAAGTGCACAGAATTTAGATAAGTTAATAGATACCTCCAATTCATGTCTAAAGTAGAGCAACTCATACATCTTAACAATAAGTTCATAAACAGAAATCTTAGCAATAAAACCACCTTCTCCTCAATCCGCCGAACAACTTCATAAGTTTAGGTCAATGCAGTCAAAAGCGCGATTCTACATAGAAGTAGAAAGGGGTAAAATCATAAAGCGCAGAATTAAAGTTTAAAAGCATAAGTTTTTTACGTATACTGTAAAATAGCCAAAAATGTGTTAAGTACGATATATACTGTTTAAAATATAAGTGCACAGAATTTAGATAAGTTAATAGATACCTCCAATTCATGTCTAAAGTAGAGCAACTCATACATCTTAACAATAGAACCACCTTCTCCTCAATCTGCCGAACAACTTCGTAATCCGCTTTTTTTAGGTTTAATACACTTGTATATCCAAAACTTTCATAGTTGTGCCAATAATATCCAAATTTCCCGGAATACTGCTTATATCCATGTTTTAAAGTTGTTCTTTGCCAAATCTATCCATTTCCCAATATATTTTTGGTTAAATACACTTGCATATCCAAAACCACCGTTAAAGAATGTGAAGGAATTGGATATAAGTGGTATTTCGGGAAATTTGGATATTATTGGCACAACCGCGAAAGTTTTGGATATACAAGTGTATTTAACCTTTTTTTTATAGCGAATAACCTAGTTTGATCCCCTGACACGCGAACTGTTTTGTGGTTCGCTCTAAGTTGCAACAAACTGCACAAAAGTTAGGTATTTTGAATTTTTTTTTTTGTAAGGTGTTGTATTGTGGGAATTTTTTTTTAACATAGTCAAACCCAAACTGAAGTTCAGAAACATAGTCAGAGTACAACATTCAACCACAGGCGGAATTCGACTAATCGTCGAAATTCCGATGAGCGAGCATTTTTGGCCACAAAATGGGCTGCTCTATTAACTCGACGAGTAATATGGGAGTCGGAACAAAACACGAAAAGGCCAGCAACCTGCGGATGTCTTCAAGGATTGCTCCTCCTGTGACATGGTGAGTATCGGCCACCAACACACGCCGGATTATAAAGAGAGAATCGCCATGGCAATTGATAAAAAGGAAATTGTGAGTTAAACACCATTGTAAGGAGTCACGTAAAGCTAAAATATCTGCAAGAAAAGGATCATGTACATTTTCATAAAACTTACCCATGGAAAAGAATATCATGTCTGAATTATTGTGACAACCAAAAGCCACACCTACTCCTCGGTCACGTTGTACCTAGCCGGTGAAGCTTACCTTGATAGAAGCAGGGGGATGCAGAGCAGCCACTATCATGCGAGAGTTGAGAACGCCCGAAGAAGCTTGATGAGCCGCCTTATTCCTTTGCTAAGTCCGAGTGAGAGTTGTTAATGGTGCATGAATTGGGTCCTGAGACGAGGACCTCCATTCTTCCAACTGAATATTGAATTGTCGATGTAAAGCCGACGGTAGGTACTGAATTCCACCATGAACCGAATGACACCTGCCTTCCCAGATCCTCAAGAAGAGAAAAAGAATTTCGGACCTGCAATTTGGACAATAGAAGAGAGAAGAAAAGAAGTTTCCATGCATTACCATAATCTGGATTGTCTAAAAGTACAGTCTCTTTTGCCAGCAAGCTGCCATACCCCTCTGGCTATCAGGCATTGTATAAAACAATGTTGGAGAGTTTATTCGGCAGTAGAGAAAACAGGATAGATCGATGACGTAACGAGCGTCTTGCAACGAAACACTGTTTGAATTGGTAGAAAGCCGCAAGCATACCGCCACGCAAAATTCTGCAACTTTGGCGGCACATGGAGGCTCCATAAGAATTTCTTGAACTACCAATCGAACGACAATGCAGGAGGAGGGATCCAGAGTGTTGAGCTCATTTGTGAAAATATGGTAACTTGTTTTGACCGTATACTAGCCTGAGGTGGAGTAATTCCATATCAAATGATCCTTCGAAGGGTACACAACTAACGAAATTCCTAAGATGGTCTTGAACGTGGCAAAGGGGAGAGACTCCCCAATACTTATTGCTTCCAACAACGACGGGTAGAGCAAATTAAATCAACAATCCTAAGAGGATCACTACTGACACCCGACAGTAAGACTGGGGAAGAAGGAGGGATGGTCGGCAACCACTGATCATCAAGAACTCGTACCAAAGAGCCATTTCCAATATGTCATCTTAAACCGCGGTTGAGTAGGTCGCGCCCTTCCAAAATCCCTTGCCATGTCCATGATGGTCGAGAGCCCGGCTTAGCTTCGAGAAAGTGGTTATGTGGATGCCAACAAGCTTTGTAGATTCGGGCGAGGCAACTATCAGGATTTCGCAGGAGATTCCAAGCCTGTTTATCAAGCAAAACAACATTGAATCGGTCAAAATCACAGAATCCGAGTGCTCCCTGAAACTTACTTTGACAAGCCATTGTCCATGATAGCCAATGAATCCCGCTCTCCTTATCCAGCCCTGTGCACCAATATCGAGAAAAGAGGCTGTTACATCGATGACAAGTTCACGAAGGCAGCCGGAACGATGACATGGCGTAAAACGGCCAAGTAGAACCCACCGCTATGATAACAACCTCCTTTCCTGCAAAGGACAAAGCATTGATTTTCCAATTCCGGATTCGATTAGCTAACACCTCTTCAACAAAATGGAAAGTTTGAGTCTTAGATTGCTGGACTTGATAGGGTAACCCGAGGTATTTGTCACCTGGGGCCATCACAAAGACCCCCAGAAAAGAAGTCAAAGCATTTAATTCCATATCTGACACATTGTGACTCAGTGAGACTGTCGATTTCTACAAATTGACATGCTGGCTACTAACCATTTCATAGTCACTCAACAAATGCATAAGGTTAGTACATTCAGAAATATAGGTACGAAGAAACAAATAAGTGCCATCCGCAAAAAAGAAATGGGAAGTAATAGGAGCTAGCCTATGGACCCGTAATCCATGAATAGCAGAAGCATTAACAATAGTCAGAATGGCAACAAAAAAAGCTTTCGAGTATAAAGCAAACAGTAAAGGAGAAAGGGGGTCTCCTTGCCTGATACCGCGTTGAGGGCGGAAATAACCATACTCCAAGCCATTCATAAGCACGGAGAAATGCATAGTTGTGATACACGATCGTATCCATCGGAGCGAGCGATCAGAAAAGCCCATCGCCTCTAGTACCGAGATGAGGAACCTCCACTCAACCCTGTCGTACGCTTTCTCCATATCAAGTTTTAATGTCATCCATTTTTCCTTTCCCTGCACCTTGGTCTTTAAGAATTGCATAATTTCTTGGGCAATCAACATATTATTAGTAATTGATCGGCCTTTAATAAACCCATTTTGACAAGGGCTAATGATAATCGGGAGGATGAGACTTATCCGAGAAGCAAGAATTTTAGCTATAATTTTATACAGAACCTGGCAGAGGCTGATAGGCCGCATTTGATGCATAGAATCGGCATTAGGCACCTTAGGAATGAGAGCAAGCCACATGTGATTGATACTGTGTAGTAGGCGTCCAGTTTGAAAGAAGGAAAAGACAACCTCCATCACAGATTGCCCAACATCAAGCCAGAAACGTTGGTAGAAAGCAGCAGTGAATCCATCAGATCCCGGTGCTTGTATCGTACCGATGCTAAAAAAGTAGCCCGAACCTCTTCCTGCGAGACCGTAGCCATAAACTAAGCATTCATGTTGTTACTAACCACCTTGGCCAACTGTATCCCGCAGATAAGAATAAATTATGATAAAAGGATATAACTGCAGCCTTCTCCTCCTTATTGTGAAAACCCCGTGCTCGTCACGAAGGAAGGGTATAGTTATTTTTTATTTTTTATAGGAATATTTGCTTATTTATTAATGTGGAATGAGCTCCTTATCTAGAATTGGAAGGAGGAAAATAGGTGGCCTGGTTGTCCAACATTCCTGGGCCTCCCAATTGCACTTAATATGGGCCATACTGTGGGCTGTAGTATTACAATCACGTTTTGCAAACGCCACCGAATCTTCCCTATCCTCTCCACCTCGGCCTTCAGTATTTTGTATTGGGACTTGAAAACATGGCTACAACTGTTTCCACCGAATGATGACCTCCCTCTCTGTTCTTGATGACTATGGGTTTTCTAGGGCGAGAAATGCGGTCTGGCAATCCGTTTCCACCACCATCTGATTAATTCCACTCCGTCCAGCCATTCTGATGCCGAATTCGATGGCTTTAAGCTCCGCTAGCTCTGGCGACCACTGGTTCCACTCCCTCCGTACCACCATCACCACGAAGTTCCCATTCTCGTTGCGGGCCACTGCTCCGAATCCCGTTCCTTTCCCTTTCAAGACCGCGGCGTCCACGTTCATTTTGATCCAGCCCACCGGCGGCGGTTCCCAGTTATGAGTTTTCTCCTCTTCGCTTCTGAGCTGCTTTGTGTGGTGTGAATTGAATTCCTTCCAAAGCTCCATTGCCCTGCCCACAATCTCACATTCCTCCGCTTTCTTGTTGTTGAAAAGCTGATTGTTCCGCTCGTACCAAATTGACCGCAAAACCATTCCCAGTTTTCCTAGAATTTCATCGTCCACCTTCTCCATTACCTCGCAGATCCAACTCCCCACCATTAGGTTAGGTTCTAGCTCGAATAGTGGTCGAAATTCAATTGGTCGCCAAACTCTGCTAACCCACTGGCAATCTCTGAATATATACTCTTTAATCTCCTCCAAATTGCAAAATGACACCCTGTTGAAGCATTTTCCTTCCTCTTCTCAATGTAAGTTAACTATTTTTGTAATTTAACTATTTAAGGATTTTTTTCGCATCATCCGGATGAGGAAAAAAATATCAAATGCTCCAACAACCCAACTGCACCTCGCAGCAATTCAACGGCTACGAGAGGGGCGCGCATTCAAGTCGGGAGGTAAAACCAAACTGATACGAATACAATGTCCGCGATGATGACGTGTCTCAATCTGGTCTCCCCTGCATCATAAAGTCGCGATCAAAAACTCGCAGGCGTGGCCTCATTATTGCCTTTCCCCATTTCCAGACGTTTCCACCTTTAGCATTCGAGAATCTTCCAGAGTCGCACTCTCTCACTCTCTGTCTACTGCTTCTCCATCGGGGGAGACGCAAGTCAATAATAGCACAAGGGTTCTCACGAGGAGATTACGAGTCACCTCTGCATCAATGGCCGGTCTGCCTCCCAAGCCCACCGTCCTCGTCACTGGAGCTGGTGGGAGAACTGGTATAATCTCTCCTTCCTTCCCTCCTTTCTATTCCCCTCTCGCTCTCTGTTATGTGAACTGGGTTTTGATCGAACAAACGGAAACTATTCGAATTTCAGGCTAGCATTTCCAAGTAGAACCTAAAATTTGAGGGGAATCGTAGGATTTTTTTTTCTGGATTTGTGGATCCTGGTATGCTGGATTTTGAGGAATCCGTCTGAAGATGTTGAAAAACTGATGGAGCATTTGGTTGAGGGGTTGATCATGTTAAGTGGGTTCATTTTTGGGATGACCAATTATTTAGTATTTCTTAGAATCATCTGGTTATGGATTGTGGTCCTGTGATGATCAATATTTTGTATTGGGACTTGAAAACATGGCTACAACTGTGGTGGCAGGTTCTATTGTTTATAAGAAACTGAAAGAGAGGTCGGACCAGTTCACTGCAAAGGGTTTGGTCCGGACGCCAGAGAGTAAGGACAAAATCGGGGGAGCTGAGGATGTCTATGTCGGGGATATAAGGGATGCTGACAGCATAGCTCCGGCTATTCAGGGAATTGATGCGCTCATAATTCTGACTAGTGCTGTGCCAAAGATGAAACCCGGGTTTGATCCGTCCAAAGGTGAAAGGCCCGAGTTCTACTTCGAAGAAGGTTGCTTTCCAGAACAGGTGAGAACTTAATTCTTGATTGTGATGATGAATGTGTCTTATACTCTTGATGAACTAGGAATGAGATTTTTTGCCTTGTAATCATGTTAGGTTGACTGGATAGGGCAGAAGAATCAAATTGATGCCGGTGAGAATTTGGTCTTTTTTCTCCCTCTATTAGTCAAATTGTCTCTTCTTTTCAAATGTGTTGCGATTTGTGGTTAACTGACTGGACATGTGAAACAGCCAAGGCTGCTAGAGTGAAGCAAGTTGTGCTGGTTGGTTCTATGGGCGGGACAAACTTAAATCACCCATTGAACAGCTTGGGCAATGGGAACATATTGGTTTGTCCAACCCATCTCTATATCAGACTTTCAGGATTCATTCTCTGCTCACTGTTTTGTGTGGATTGGCTTTTGATTCCTACATTGCTAAATCCAACTTGATGTCAACCTTTCATTTTTTTCTAGGTGTGGAAAAGAAAGGCTGAGCGGTATCTTGCTGATTCTGGTCTCCCTTACACAATTATAAGGCGAGTGACTCTAGATTCTGTGATGTAGTACAGCATTTCGTTTTGGTGCAACTTGTCTGACTGTGAAGTGAAGTACAATGTTTCTGAATCAAATTGTCTGATATTTGGTGATTCAGGGCTGGAGGCCTGCAAGACAAAGAAGGAGGAATCCGTGAGCTTCTGGTTGGGAAGGATGACGAGCTTCTTCAGACCGAGACAAGGACCATTGCAAGGCCTGATGTTGCTGAAGTCTGCATTCAGGTACTACTAACACAGGAATAGAACAGATCTAGTAGTTTGAGTTGAAGTGTGATGGACCTTGTGGGATTCTTACACGTATCTTGCTTGCTTCCCTGAAACACAGGCAGTCCAGTACGAGGAGTCTAAGTTCAAGGCTTTTGATCTGGCATCAAAGCCAGAGGGAACCGGCACCCCGACCACTGACTTCAAGGCTCTCTTCTCCCAGATCACCACCCGTTTCTGAAGATTCCCTTGAGAGCAACACCGACCTATCTCGAATAATCTTGCGTCGTCTTGCTTAAATGAACTTGCTTGTGGCGCCCGGGGGATTCATAATGCTTGTTTCCTAGTTGACTTTGCTAAAGAAGTGGGACACTGAGCCTGTGATAAGAGGTGTAATGTTAGAACGACGCTGTTCGATAACACACACCTGCAACAAAAGAAGCAACTTGCCTCGTTATTCTTGCTAGTCAAAGGCCCGGCCTGGTTCTATCATGTATGTGTTGATGATGTATTTTGTTTAGTATTTGGCGATAAATAACGTATTGAATAGATGAGAAAGTAAAAATGACTAACAAAGAAATACCGCTAATAATGTCAGAATATATTGGAAAGTTGAGAAAGTAAAAGTGATTTAACAAAGAAATGCAGGTAATAATGACATATGTTTGCAAACACAGTATGCATCCATAAATGAAAAATATGAGTTGCCTCCTATCAGTATTATTAAAACGCAAGTGTCATTCTGCAATTGCTATATAAGATGAAGAGACGAAACATAAAGATTCAGATTAACAGTTAAATTAGACATGTTAGGTGATTAATTTACGTAACACAATGTATACTCATTACGTAAAAGGATCGTTCATTACGTGAGTGAGGATAATGTATCATTGTCTCACAACTATCATATTAAATAACGCAAGCTAAAATCACCACTACTTACAAAAAAATAGGATATAATTAAATTTGTTTTTGTACCGGAGTTTTGAAAAGCAATCAAAGGTGGGAAATATCACACATATTCGAGTTTTTTTTCACGCTCATGATGTCCAGTCATGAAAGCATTCAAATATGTTAATGAATTTTTATCTCCTACACCCAATGTTACCGTAACCTCATGATTAGTTAACTTTGACATAACAGTTTAATCATATGTTACTTTCTAAAATGTTATTATTAGACCACACATTATAAAATATTTATGTAACAACATTCTATAACATTTTTATCTCCTACATCCAATTTTACCATAAGCCCTTAATTAGTTAACTTTGACATAACAGTTTAATCATATATTACTTTCTAAATTTTTATTTTGTTATTAGACCACACTCTGTGAAAGATTTATGTAACAACATTCTATGATAGTTACATAAATTACAATTCATCAATGTTATTTAATATAACTTGATTTTATTATAAGAGCACACCTAATGAAAGATTTATGTAGTCTTCCTTAATAGTTCAAACATTGCATAAAGGTTATGGTCAAATAATCATTTTTCATGTAAAAATTAAACAAAAATAATATATAAGTCTTCCATGATTAAACATTATGTAGATCTTATGTAGGGATAGTTTTTAATTGGGTTATAGGTATAATATGCCCCTCTATTATGCAGTTTTATCAAACATGCCATTCTACTATTTTTTACATCAAACATGCCCCTATACTTTGTAAAAATGATCAAACATGCCCTTATGTTAAAATTTGCATCAAAAAACCATCAACCATGGTCAAACCTTGGTTTGGGCGACACCTATGTCCAAAATATTTCTAACAATTTCACTTTAGAATTGTTTTGTTTCTTTTATACAGCCAATTACCTCTAACAATTTCACTATAAAGATACATGGAGAAATAAATGAGGAAGAAAAGCTGATATGTCACCCACAATTTTTTTGATGTCGGGTCGTGCGAATCTCGGTTCAACCGTGGTTGACCATTTTTTAATGGAAATTTTAACATAAGGGCAATGTTTGAGAATTTTTCAAAGTATATGGGCAAGTTTGATGTAAAAAGTAGTAGAGGGGCATGTTTGATAAAACTGCATAGTAGAGGGGCATATATTACCTATAACCCTTTTTAATTATGTATCTCTTATGTAAAACTTACATAAGTATCTTATTTGAATAATTTGTGAATTATTTGAGTTCAACTAACTTTTTACTGCGGCATGGCGCGAGACAAAAAAACTAGTGATTTGTAAATAATCAATCATTACCATACAAAAATATACTTCATAGACTTCATTCGTGGTTGACGGTTTTTGGATGAAAATTTTAACAAAAGGGCATATTTGATCATTTTTCCAAAGGACATGGGCATGTTTGATGTAAAAAATAGTAAAGGGGTATGTTTGATAAAATGACATAGTAGAGGGGCACATTGTACCTATAACCCAATAATAAAAAATTCAATTTTTTTTATCTTCTGTGTTGATAATGAAACAGATTATATATTGACATATAAGTATCTTGGGCTAGCGACAATGGCAGGACGGTCGAAGAAGGAACTGTTTGTGGGTATTCTAGAAAGGATAAGGAAAAAGCTGAAAGGCTGGAAAGAAAAAACATTGTCTGCTACAGCTCGGGAGGTGCTAATTAAATCTGTAGCTCAAGCTCAACTCACTTATGCCATGTTAGTGTTTAAAATTCCGGATGGAGTCATCGATGAAGTTCATAGTCTTATTACCAATTTTTGGTGGGGGCAACGAGGAATTGAAAGATGGGTTCACCGGGTGAGGAGAGAGGAGTTAACGATCCCTAAGGAAGAAGGTGGACTTGGTTTCCGGACCTTAGAGGATTTAACAAAGCGCTCCTTGCGAAACAGTTGTGGAAGTTAATACGACGCCCAGAATCTCTTATTATAAGAGTTTTGAAGGCAAAGTACCACAAGAGAACGTCTATCTTAGATGCTAATGTGGGGTATAACCCGAGCTTCGTTTGGCGAAGCTTGTTGTCTGCTCAAGAGCTTTTATGCAGCGGGGTTAGATGGCGAGTGGGAGATGGAAGATCGGTCAAGATATGGGGTGACAAATGGGTACCCTCTACTACTATCTGTTTCATTACCTCGCCTCCAGTAGGCCTACCTGTAGATTCCTTGACATGGCAACAATACAGGGATTTACACAGTAAAGGATGGATATGCACTCTGGTACCAACAATATATAGTGAGTGAGGGACTTATTTCTTACGGTGAAGAAAAGGTTTGGAAAAGGCTTTTGGGATTGCAAGTTCTACCAAAAGTCAAGCAGTTATTGTGGAGATTTGCGCGAGAAGCCTTACCAACGGGTGATCATATTAGTTCAAAGAGTACAAAATGGGGTGATAAATGCCCATATTGCGACTTACCAGAGACTCAGGTTCATCGTTTTGGTGAATGTGCATGGAATTCCAGGATTTGGGGAGATTCACAGGTTAGATGCTGCTTTGAAATGCGTCCCCAAGGGGATTGTTATGAGTGGCTATCTGCAGTTATGGACAATGTTGATGAATCCATGCAGGGGGAGTGGGCGGTACAACTGTGGTTTTGTGGAAGGAGCGTAATGGGCATGTGTTCAATGGTGTAAAGCTTGAGGAAAGCGAATTTTCACAAAGGGCTCATTTCTTCCTTGAAGACTACAAAAAGCACCAAGAACCTGAAGAGATTTCACTGGCGCAGCCAGCTCAAACGAGTTGGAGAAGACCTCCGTTAGGCCATCACTCGATTGCAACCGACACTACAGTCTTCCCTGATGGGGGAGCGGGGCTGGGAGTGATTGTGCGAGATAGTGATGACCGTTTCATCCTAGCTGCGCCAAGCGCATTCGCGGGTGCTGGGAACTAGAGGAGGCGGAGGCTCTCGCAGCAGAAATGGGGCTGCAGTTGGCGACCACTATGCAAATTTCGCACCCGATCCTAGAGAGAGACTGCCTCTCTTTGATACAAAAATTGAGCAGCCCGCTTGGCATTGAAACGAATACTGGGGTTGTGATAAAAAACATTAAGCGGATTATGTTGGAGCTCGGAAATGGCATCTACAAGCATATCAAGAGAGAAGCTAATGTGCCAGCCCACATGATGGTGCATTCCATGACGCATTGGGAGGAATGTTTGGTTTGGGTAGATAGACCGCCGTTTTTCATTGTTGATCAGTTACAACTAGATTATGTGATAGCAGCCTCTGAGTTATAAAATTCACATGTTTTCCATAAAAAAAACATTGACATATATATATTTTTCTTACTATTTTCAATGGGAATGAGTGAAATAAATTTGGCTCTTTATTCGAACAAATGTATACAGATCGTTATCATAGAATTATTCTTTAACGTTTGCATCCATCGCTCTAGTATAATTTTAACATGCATATTTGAGATGGTGATAATCGGCTTTAATATATCGGATTCTTGAGCTTTATGTGACTATCCCATGATATATTTAAGCCAATTGGTGCTATTTTAGGGCTCGATAACCCGGGAATGGTTGAAAAACCATTACTGCCTAGTGCCATGAGTTTGATGTATTACAGGTGAAGAAAACACGAAAAAGAAGTTGCACCGGCAAACAATTGTCAAATCACTGGCTAAATAGCACGTGGGCCTGGATGGAGCAGCAGGAGGGAATTTAATGGCTGGTTGGTGATTATTTTGGGCTTTGGGACACGAAATTCTCTGGAGGAGAGCTGGGCTAGGAATTCTTTTGCTAGGAAGGAAAATGGGACGAAAACGACATGGGGATTAATTGTGGAAGGAATCGGATTCTTGGAATTCTTGGGCCCAAATTAATTGTCCAGGACCGGGAGGAAAGCAGTGGGCCGAATAATTGGAGGCGGGCCAGGGAATGAAGGAGCTGGGCGGAATTATTGGAGGGAGCTTCTAATTGCTGGCGGCTCTTATTTGTGGAAGGGAATTTTTGGGCAAGAGAGTTCTCCAAGGTCGGCTATTCTTTTGGGGGAGGAAAAACATCAAAGGGGCGAAATTAATAAAAAGGGGGGCGCCTATTATTTTTGAGGGGAACGGAATTATACGAGGAGCAGGCGAAATTCTTTGGAGAAAAGAGAGGAGCAACGGCGATTTGGCGAGTCACTTCTCCCAAGGCGGTTTAAGCTGATTTCAACGAAAGCGATTACTTTGGTTGGATTTTCTAGACTGAACTAGTTGTTTATTGTTGATTTAGAACATGATGCACAAAACCCTATTGTTTTATCTCAATTTCGTCATGAACTAAACCCCGATTTCTGGGGGAAACACCATAGGATGTAGCTATTTCTGGATTTGATGGATTAATTCGTATTTCTTTTCTTCCAATCTCTATTGCATGAAATTACTTAATGCTTTGTGTTGACTGGCCAACAATACAATGATTTGTAGTTAATTAGGTTATTAGCGACAGTGAAACCCTAATAACTGAATCTATTTCATGTGATATAATAACTTATCGAAGCGACAGTGGATTAAATAAGGTACTATGCGGTCTTGATTGGGATATCGTTCTTCAGGCTAAATAGTAAATTCATTGAGCTATGACAGTAGGATTTAAATTAATTGTTTAGTACGTAGTAATTCCCGACAGGGATAGCTAGCACATTCGTGATGTCTTGGCTGTAGAGAGTTGGATTACACCGATTAGAATATGTGAATTAATCTGGATAGGATAGGTAGTGAGTCCCGGTGTTTCTCCCAGAGCTTTTCCCATTGAATTTCTCCCGACAAGTTTACTTTGCTTAATTAGTTTAATTATCTTGCTATTAGTTAATAATCTCATCAACCAAACCATTTTTCACCTATAGCTTGCTCCATAGAATCGGTAAATCATAAGGTTGTACCAGTCCCTGAGAGACGATACCCGGACTTTCCGGATTACTACAAGATAGGAGTTGGCATTACGCTTTTGCCCTATCAAGTTTTTGGGGCTGTTGCCGGGGACTGCCATACCTTATTTTTGTTGATTTTTGTGAGTGAACTATTTTGATCTGAATGTTAGTGTGCAGGTGAATTTTTCAGGTGTATACTCCTCGTGCATGCCAAGGAGGACAACTGACAATTTACTGCCACTTGATCCACAGATAGAGAGGACCGGCCGACAGAACAGGAAGCAGGTCAAGTTAGGGAAGCAGCCAACCACGACCACAACTCCTAGGCCTTCCCTAACCAAGAATCGTCAACAGAGAGGGCAGGCTTCATCACCTGTCGTCCCTACACCACCGACACCACCACGTTGGGAGATTGAGCCAGACATCATGGCAGACGAGGATCGATCCATCAGGGCTCGTATGAATCAAAGGACTGGAGCCTGAGCTTCATGTGTTGTCATTCCGGCTGGGGATGCAACCATGGAAATTACCCCAGCATTCATCAATATGATCACCAATGGGTACACTTTCTCAGGGGCTAGCACTGAGGATCCTCATGAACATCTCCGCCGGTTCGCGAGCATTTGTGATACGATAAAGAGCCCGACTGTGTCTGATGATGCAATCCATCTTTGGATGTTCTCATTTTCTCTGCTAG